GAAATCGACAATTCGGGCTCAATCCAGTAATGTCTACGGTCGTTAAAAAAACACTCCGAAAAATATTTTATTGACGCAAATACTTCAAAGGACATTCACCTTTATTATGGACAAAAACTTTGGACAAAAATTGTCTTCTGACAATCGAGTGCAAGTACTGGTGGAATTCTATTTAGACTTATATTGTCTCATCGGATATCATGTTACATATGAATTGATGCCCTGTCTACCTTTTTCTTGAATTTAATGTTGTTTATTTAAATAAAATATGTTATACCTTGTTTTATCAGAGAGCTACTCAAAACRCTTYCACATCCCRTATTTCGTATTTCTTCGAGACACCCTGAGCTATGTAGCATTACTTATGCTTCATATTGCTGTGTGTGTACAGCCGTCTGGTCTACGATTAAGTGTTCTGGAATGGTTCATCATGGYGTTCTTTATTGGAAGGTTTATGCAAGAAGTTGATCAGTCAACATCAGAAAGAGATGAAATACACGATTTAAAAACACGTTACTCAAAGTGAGTACTATTTTATTGTTAGAGTGCTTTTACATCTGGTAAAGGCTTGAAAAATTAGTAATGCTAAGTTTCTAAAATTAAATGAATCCTCTGCGTTTACAAGATGTTTTAATACGACTCTAGATAACTATTACAAATTTAATAACATTGTTCAGACAGTGCTGACATGAAATAGCATTTGTAGTACTATAAAATGTATGATCTTTTTTTGGAAGTCTTACTTGGTTATATCGTAAAACTGTAGACAGCTTTTACCCGTTATTTTACACACTTTTCTTTGTGTGTAGAATTGCTTTAGATTGAGGTTTTGATGAAAAAAGTTTATTCATTTAGCAAGCAATGTCAATTTTAGATTGTTAAAAGATCTGATCTGAACACACTTGTCCGATTATTGTCTTGATAACTAGACTTCAAAATCTGAAAATCAACATCACAACATTGCATTCATCTCCAGCAAGACATAACTTCCAAACTAATAGGCACGAGTAYCCTGCAGCCCTGTCTGGCCCTGCTGTATACCCTAGAGTCAAAATTCAGTTACAGAATTCTTTGAAACATAACTGAATCTCCAGAAGTTTTTTAAAAGAGTCATGYCATCTAAATGCATTTRTTTTTTAAGTGATTTTTGGAACAAACTAGATGTTGTTACGATAATCTGGTACATCGTAACTTTTATTTTCCGCATGGTCACATGGTCATTGACGTCACAGCTCATTGGGAATGAGTGGCTCGTTGTTACTTCCTATTTGTATGGCATTAACGCTGGTTTGCTAAGTTTGAGGGTCTTTGGACAGATAATGGAAGTGAAACAAGCAACTGGGACAAAGCAGATTGCCTTAATGCGCATTATCAATGCCGTGTTTGTGATCCTTGTGCAGATGGTGGCCGCCATTACAGGATTTTCTTTGATACTAACAAAAATCTACGTCAGTGAGATTTCATACGTGGGGAATAAAACATCTCATGGGTGAGTCGATATATTGTTAACCTATTGTGCTTTGCAGCTCCCCTTTGCTCCCTTGCGGATTTTGAGGGAATTTATAATGGTAATTGAACTGAGTGGAGTGCAATTTTGTCTGAAATCAAACGCTCACTACAAAATCGCCCGACCGCTAAGTTCACTTACCACTTAACTATGTCCATTTTGAAAACCTAACCGGACCGGAAAGCCTTTTACATCTCATTTACAATTCATAAACTGACAGGTGATGTCACTTCACTACAGGGGAAACAACGAACTTGACAAATTTCAAACGAGCAGTTTGTGTTCAAGTTTTATTTCGGTTTGATTCCTCATAAAATCAAACTATGGAGACCCCTTTCGTCTGTCGCAAAGAAGATCTAAGCCATAGCAAATTAATGGTGACAAAATGTCCGTGATTACTCAAGCGTAACCTGACAGTCCATATTCTTCGTTTGCATGTGATGTCATAGTCACGCAAAAAATCTCGCAAAATCCAAAATATTTTTGCTAATTAAGAGCTTTTCTTACAGTATGTCTTAAATATATTTCTAGATAGTGTGTATGGAAATTTTCAGACGAATTCAACGATTTGGTGGCGAATCACAAAAGTTTTAGTTTGTGCGGAGTTTAATTTATTCTACTTTTAGATCGTAAACAAAAACTTCGAAATTGGATAAATCATTCTTTCAACTCCGTAAGAACTTACTTAAGGTGATTTTTCTTTGAAAT